AATATTAAACTGAAATAGTGATTATTCTTCAAAAGTGTTGATTTTCCACAAAATTTCATCAATCCGTTTTACATTCAATCAGGAAACAGTGAACGAAGCATNAACAGCAACATAAATAGTNTAAATATAATTCAAACCATAACAATGCAGTAATTTATGATGTAGCAACTGAAAATATTTGTCTTATTAATGTACTTGTCTTCGAGATAATTTTTGCTATTCTCGAACTTCCATGCACCTTGAATGGCACAAATGAATGGCACAAAATACCAGAACCGGCACTTTTTTTCAAATTATTTATACCAGAACTGAGAATTTTTTTAAATTATCAAAAAAATAATCACCGAATTCATAAAGAAATCACTTTGGGTTATTTTAGGCACCAAGAAAAGACGATCTGCCAATGCGAGATGTGCTAAGGGATGAAAGTGAAATAATGGCTATGGCTAATAACAATGGAAGGAACAGAAGACGGTTCATATGTGATGTATGTGGTAAGCGATTCAGAAGTCGAAACGATCTGAGACGCCATAATCGGGAACATACTGAAGACCATACAAAATGTAATGCATGCGAGAAAGCATTCAAACAGCTCAGCCATCTCAATAGCCATCAAATAACGCATGGCGGTGAAACATCTTACGAATGTAATGAGTGTGATAAGGAATTCAGCAGTCGAAACCGTCTGAAAGATGATAATCGGACACATAGCGATGAAAAGCCGCACGAATATCACACATGCGGTATAGCATTCAGACAATATGGAAATCCGAAGAAACACGAATTTGAAACGACACATGAAAGTGCATGGAAGTTCGAGAATAGCAAAAGTTATCTCGAAGACAAATACATTATTAATAAAACAAATAATTTCATTTGCCACGTCATAAATTACTGTACTGTTATGGTTTAAATTATATTTACACTATTTATGTTGCTGTTCATGCTTNGTTCACTGTTTCCTGATTGAATGTAAAATGGATTGATGAAATTTTATGGTAAATCAATACTTTTGAACAATAATCATTGTTTCAGTTTAATATTTATTTGAAATACTTTGTCATTTTTTTTGTGTTAGCTAATATTTGCTGAACTGTAAATACCTTCCATTATTTATGTAATAAAGCTTTATTTATCATTGACAGTTAGGCTGAGAAAGCTGCGCTCCACAATTTTATCTCTGTTAAAGTTTATTTCTTATCATATGACCTCTTTGTGCATTGCTATAATATCATCGAGAGAGATGGCTTTACCACGCATTTGTCCTTTGATTGTTTTTTGCCGTTTACGCGAGACCAATGTGGCTATCAAGTAATCATACAATCCTCTCTTTTCCCACTGCTTCTTCCTTCCCAATATGACATTGTCTGACCTTTGGGTTACCTATTAGGCCCATTATCTCTTATGATGATAGTGCCCAATATTGGGTATATAAACAGTCAAATATGCGGATCACATCTCTCCTTTTGCATTCTTTCACGTCTTTCAACATTCATACGCTTACTCATCCCTGCGAGCAATTATCATCACATATTCTGCTGCTCATTTCTTCTGTTCATGCTAGAATTATTCAGATAAAATTCTCAACTATAAAATAAATTTTAACAAATTATTTGTCTGTGAATCAA